TCAACTTAGAGCCTTTCTGACCTTGCTCCACACACCAAGATAAGGTCCAAGCAGAGTAGATCTTCAAATATAAAAAATAAGCCAAAAAAAAAAAAAAAACCCAGAAGAAAATAAATTTATGAAATCACAAGAAGACTTAGTAAGCATAAAAATAATGGAATTAGTAGAAGACACTTTTAAAAGTTAAACCTTTCTATATAAATTCATCACGAAGGGAAACTAGAAGCTTCTACCCAAACTGACTACAAAGGTGATCGAGGAGCACGGATGTGGGGAGACCACGGCGCAAGGGGCGCACAGCGTGTCCCTCCCTGTCAGTGAGCAAAAAGCGCACACTAAAACGAGGTGCCATTTGTGCGCAACATTAAAATGCCACTGTGTGATACAATTGACAGTTTTTGGCATAAAGGTCTGCACGGCCACCGCCTCCAAGACCCAGGACGGCTGCAGCACCCTGGACAGCTGCCTGCCTTGCTCTGTGCCCCGCCCTCCCCGCCCACTGCTAGGACATCGACAGGAGGCTGTGCTCCCTCGGCGGGCTACTGTCCCATTCCCCACTCACCCGGGAAAGGGCGCATGGCTGCCAGTGGTCTGTGGGGAGCGGGTGTGGCGCTGCTACGCACACAAACTCAGTTCTGGGATAGATGACAGTGTGGACCCAAGCCTGTCTGGTGAAGGTGCTCAGCTGGAGATTCGGCCCACAGGCCCTGAAGGACAGAGGCTGTGGGGGCTGAGGACGGGACCTGGGGGCTAGCGGATGCTCACCGTGCAGGACCTTTTCGGCAGGATCATGGGGTGTCTCCCACTTCGTTCAGAGCCCCTCTGACTCCTCGCTTCAGTGCTTCCTCATGGATGCACTGTGCTGGACTCACACCCAGGAATTTCATTCATGGACCATGAACAGAAATGGCATCAGGCTGCTGATCTCAGTGTTCACACGTCTGGTACATAACACACAACACATGCACGCACTCACGTGTCCTATAAGCATGGCTGGCAAGGCTGTGGGATATGAGACCATCTGGGTCACAAAAATTCACGAACTCACTTTATCAGTTTTCTTGTCTGTTACTTCTTGGATCTGCCAGTCAGGCCTCTGCTTCCACCTGCCCCACCTCTATGCCTGCTCTTCCCTGGCCGCCTGGGCCGGGACTTCCACCGTGGCTGATCAGGGCGCCGTAGTCACTCTGCCATCTCTCTGGTCTGGGCCAGTGTGGGGTCGGTCGCTGTCAGGCCCGGCGTCAGGAGGCAGCACTTGCAGACGTCAGAGTGGCTGGCGGAGCCCCCTCTTTATTTACTTTGCTGAGAGTTTTCCTGAGGACTGAACTTTGTCAAATTATTTCAACCGATATGTGAGTCCTGGAGTAAATACAAAAATAAATTCTTCTAGGTCTCGTTTTCTGTCTTGTCACTGGTTTTCAAATTAGGGTAACACGTGCTTCATAAAATGAATTAAAAAGGGCTCCTTCTTCACTCTGAAGAGGTGGCAGAACTGCTGTTCATTGTTCTTTGTTTGGCAGAACTCACCAGTGAAGGCACCTGGGCCTGGACACTTCCGGAAGCTTCCTGACTGTGGATCCCAAGTGTGGAGCAGGTGCAGGGAGAGCTCTACAGCGGTCTGGGTGTGCCAAGGTCGGCCACCGGCACTTGTTCCGATCCTAGTGCCCCCTCCCCAGGTGAGAGGCCATGAAGCCTGGGCCAGGTGCAGTGAGCACTAGGTGCAGACAGAGCTGATCAAGGAGCCCTCACCTGCTGGCTCAAGAAGCAGGCCAAGAAGAAATCTGCTTTCTTCCTTTTCTCATGCTCCCCTCCCCAGGGCCCTGGACAACCCCACGGAGGTACAGGTGTGGCTGGGCGGGCACTAGTATCTTGAAAGCCACAACCTCAAGGAAGAGGGGTGGAACCTCGCCGCTCTCCCTGTTGCACCCCACGGCGTAGGCCTTAGTGCTGATGCCACTGTGGGAAGTGCACAGCAGGGCAGGGAGGGCAATGCCCTGGGTGTCTGACCTGACCAGAGGCCTTAGGGAACCAGAAACCGCGGGGCATCAGGAGAGGGGACCCTGGAGGGCACGCCCGGCACCCACATGGGCCGCAGACAGTGTGCAGGCCCTAAAACTGACCTGGTGTGGAGGCCCAGGGCTCAGAGGGCACGGGAGCCACTGCCTAGGCCCAGCTGCACAGACCGCCTGCTGCAACCAGCCGACGGGATTAACATTCTCCGCGGGACTGCAGAAAGACCTACCATCTCCTATATGGCATTCAAAACCTCTGGAAAACATCTAAAATTAAGCAGCCCTTGAAGAACCAAGAAAACACAAACCTGCTAGGAGACACATAGCCAGCAGGTGCCAAACCCCCAAACACACAGATGCTGGAATGATCAGGCAACACTTTACAGATGCTCACAGGATAGTACTTAGCTTGTCACATCTACTCAGAATCAGTACTGTACCTACAAAACCGGCTGCAGAGGCCACGTCAGCATACAGGCCCCTGGGCCCAAGGTGCTGCTGCTGTCCCCTCCTGTCACCTGTGGTCTGAGTGTCTCACACAGATGGCAGGTCACCCGAATGGCTGCAGATGGCTCATCAGAAACTATAGAGGCCAGAGCTAGAGTGGCAATGTCGATTTCCTCAGTGCTGACAGAGTCCCTGACCCGGAAGCAGCAGGGATGTCCTTTGGGAATAAGTGCACGAGAGGTGTCACCACACAGTGGAGCCCCAGGAACCTGTTATGGCAGGTGTACCCTGGAAGAAACACCTGGGGAACAAATAGCAGGGGAACCTGGGGTTTCAGGAACGGAGAGAAAGCAACAGAATTCTAAATGTCTAGGTAAAAATCATGGACTGTTTTTCTCCTCTTTGAAAGAAGTACGACAGTTAAAAGCAAAAAATGTAACATTTTACAGCGGGGCTTTCAGTGTATATAGAGGAAATACCTGTGACCAGTACCACGTGGGGGTGGGCAGGGGGGAAAACTGTGGTAAGACCTTGGCCTTGGTAAGACCTTGACCTTCCAAGTGGTAAAGTATCAGTTGCAAGACCACTGCAAGTTTCGTGTGTAGATTGTAAGCCCTAGAGAAGTCACTATAGAAAGTATCCAAGGAGATGTAATAAAAAAAAAAAGATAAAATGGAATACTAAAACATGTTCAAATAACCTGGAAATAGGTAGAAATGGGAAAACAGGAATAAAAAGAAGACAAGAAAAACTAATCATAAATAGCAGGCCTAAATCCAAATGTATTAAAAAATTATATTAAATATAAATGGTCTAAGCACATTGATTAAAAAGCAGAATACACAGTCTCACAAAGTACACACAGAACATGTACTAAGATAGCTCAGTACTGGCCATCAGACAAATCTTGAATTAAGAAAAAACACAAGATACTATACAAAGCATATTCCTTAAACATGTAAAGGAATTAAACAGGAAATCAGTAACAGAAAACCACCTGGAAAACCCCCAGGTATTTTGAAATTAGAAACACACTTCTAAATGACGTATGAGTCATAGAAGACAGCTGAAAGGAAATCTGAAAAATTCTGAACTGAACAAATAAAAAGCTATGACATACTAAAATCTGTGGATTCATCTAAAGTAGTCCTCGGATGGAAATTTATAGCACTATACATTTATATTACAAAACAAAAAAAGATCCCAAGTGAGCGATCTAACTTTCTCTTAAACGAAAGAGCAGGAGCCAGAGAAAGCCAGAGCAAGCTGATGAAAGGAAATCACAAGGAAATAAGCAAATAAATAAATAAATAAATAAATAAAAAATAAAATTTGAAAACAAGTATCAATATGGAAAAAAATCAATGAAACCAAAAGCTAGGTCTTTTAAAGACTGATCAAATATATAAATCCCTATCAAAACTTACAAACAAACAAAAGCGAAGACAAACTGCCAAAATCAGAAAAGAAAGAAGGGTAATAGCTATACACTCAGCAAAGATTATAAAATTAATGAGAAATAGTACAAACACTTCTTACTATAAATTTCATGACTTAAATGTAAAGGACCAATTCCTACCAAACCCCCAAAACTGCCACAATTCACCCAAGGAAAAACAGATAACCTGATATTCCTATGGTCTTAGACCACATGGGGCGTGTAATGCAAAGTCACAGACTGGGCGGTTTATCGACACGAACTTGTATTCCTCATGGCTCCAGAGGCCAAGGAGTCTGAAGGTACTGGCAGGTTTGGGGTCTAGTGAGGGTCCAAGTATTGGCTCAGACGGAGAGAGGGAGTGCCCTGGTCCCATTCCTGGGGGCTCCGCCCTCGGTATCTTATCACCGCCCAAGGCCACCTGCTAACACCATTACAGTGGGGGTGAGGGTTGCCATATAAATTTTGTGGGCTGGGGTAGGGGGCCAAACGTTCAATCCACTGCCCCTGTAACTATTCCATGACCCCAATCTATAGATCCAGATGGTGTCCAGCAGGTATCTACAAAACCATTAAAGAAATAATGCCAATTTTACACCATCTCCTCTAGGAAACAGAAGAGGAAGGAACATTTCCCAACCTGTTTCATCATTAGGGATAAGCAAACCAGACAAGGACAAGAGAGCTCGAGACTAATGAGAACAAAGACACAAAAATTACTGATAAAACATTAGCAAGTTGAATCCAGCAACATAAAGAAAGGAAAATATACCACAGGCAAGCGGAATTTATTCCAGGAATACAAGGCTGGTTCAACACTGAAACATTTCACCAGTAACCCTCCCCACTGAGAGTCTGAGAAAGAAAGAGCACATTATCTCATCCACTGATGGAGATACAAACTTTAACATCCAGCATGATCAACACCCTCAGTAAACTGAAGAGTAGAGGGGACTTCCCCAGCCTGACCAAGGGCACCTACACTCGGCCCAACTCACAGCACCACCAGGACCAAATGCCCAGGAGATGAGGAGCAGTTGGGATTCTGGAACAGACAGAACGTGTGCAGAGATGAGGACTGAGGCCGGGGCGCCTTCGCTCACCACGACTCCGCCGAGAGCGCTGGCCCGGGACTAAGGCAAGGACACGAAATGCGGGCTCGCAAGTTTTACAGGAAAATATAAAGCAGTCGCTATCCACAAATGCCATGACTGCAAGGAAAAAAAGAACAAAGACAAAAAAAGAATGAAACCCTCCCCAAATTGATGTGTGAGTTCTGTGAGGCCACAGGCCCCAAGACCAAGCGTGTTTAAACACAGAGCAAGACGGGCTAGAAACGCTAAAAATGCACGCACGCGCACTTAAGATCGGTGTAAGACTTGAAAACAACGGCAAGGTAACACGTAACGACGTACCCGTGGGGGAGTACGCAGACGCCCAGGAACTGCTGATGCCAGAGATGCAGGCAAGCCGGGGCCAGTGCAGACACTCTAGCTGGGGGACACTCACCACCTAAATGTGCCAACTCTCCCCAAGGCGACCTGCAGGCTTAATGGAGTTCTCGAGGAAGCTGTGGTGGGACGCTCCGCTGCACACGCAAGAACAGTGCCCACCAACAGCAGCACCCGTGGGGACGCACGGCCATGGGTCACATGCAGACAGGGGGCGAGGGCCAGGTTTTACAAAGCCAACCACGCGCTCACCAGGGGCCTGGCCCTTTCCTGCCTAGGAGCATGCCTGAGGATGCGGGCCAGCGCTCCCACAAGCAATGGTGTGGCCGTTTCCATGGCCCAAGGTTTGGTAACAGTGTATCTGGGAGTACGTTCAGGGCCGACATCAGCTGCTTTGAAGCCTCTTTGGCGAGGTTCATTTCTGCCCCAAGAATTACACCACTCAGGCACTGGCCAGCTGCTTCACAGACACAGCCTTCCTTCCCTTCCCACCTGCTGCCAGGCTGGGGGGTGGAGGTTGTCCTGCAGGGCAAGGGGGTCAGGAACACCCTGGACTGGGACCCTCCTGCAGCTCCCAGGACTTATCTGGGGTGCGGGATGGAGGCAGCGGGAGAGACCTACACTGCTCTCCGGGTCGTCTGGGCATGCTAGTCTCTTCCCACCGGGATGGCGCATTCCTGGCTGGCACAGGGCTGGGCACATGTTGGGGGGGCAAGGTCAGGTGACCCCTGCCAGGAACACCAGCCCGCAAAGTTCAGTGGAAGCCCGTGCCTGGCCACCTTGGTCTGCCTGCTCCGAGGCCAATTCCCACAGCTCTTCACTCGCTCTGTCCTGAGGGCAGGGACAGGCCCCCTGATGCCGAGGGGTCCAGCAGGTGTAGAGTGTTGCCGGCTAACGGAGCATGTGTCTCTGCCTTCAGGGCCTCAGGGAGGCCAGCCAGTCTCCTCCATGCTGGCACCACACCCTCACGGACAATGAGGCAATGGAAGCCGGGTGTGGCTGTCTTGTCTGAGGGCATGGGGGCAGCAGTGACGCAGCCCGTGTCTCATGGAGTCAGTGTTGAGATTTCTGCCACTCCGCGGCGCCCAGCACCTAGGGAGTTAACTCTTGGCCCATGACCCGGGGACCTTCCCGCTTGCCCCGGCTGAGCCAGCGCTGGCCAGAGCAGGAAGGGGGAGGCCTCGTAAGCCTACAGACAGGATGGATGGTGAGGGAAGAAGAAAACTGCTCTTTGCGCCCCAGCCCCCGTGGTGCGAGAGAGTACACCAGTCTACCTCTTTGGGCAGAGCGGTGGGCTCTGGGGAGGAGCCATGGCACCCCAGCACCAAGCAGGGAGGAGCCACCACGCCCTACCACCCACACAACCAGGCAGCGACAAACTTGATCACCTTCACTGTGTTGCTGATGAGATTAGAGTACTTTAATATTAATGAATTACCTAATTAAGCTGCAATTAATAATCTCCCTGGCCCAGCCTGGGTACCGCAGGGGACTGTGTGAGGAGCCAAGAGCCGGGTGGGGGGTTTCTGAGGACTCAGGTGCCTGTCCCCCTGCCAACCCAGGGCACCAGGCCCTGCTCTGGGTTGTTGAGCAGGTCCTTGGCCAAAGATGAGGAAGAACCGGCACCACCTTTGCCCGTGCAGTAGGTCGCCACCCCGGCTAGCCCGATGGGTCTGTCTCCTCCTACTTAGCAAAGCTGCTCTCCCATCTCTGGTCCAGCTGCCCCCCAGCCCCCAAAGCCACGGCACCCCTGCTCCATCCAAGGGCTGTGCTCCCCTGCAGGGGAGCCTGGGGGCCACTGCATTTCGTAATATCCGCTCAGAGGCCATGTCTGTGCACGGCAGATAGGAACTCGTCTGGACCACCAGCACCTTCATGTTGTCTGCTGGGGGACAGGCCACATTCCCATCAGGTCCATCGGTCTGTGCTAACCCCAGGGTGCCTGAGGGCGGGGGCCACCGCACGCATTTCTGCCTCACCTCTGTCCAGGACGCCCCCAGCAACACCGTCCACACCGCCACAGGCCTGGGCACGGGGAGGGCCCCCACTCGCGGTGACAGGGCGGGCCGGCCTGAGAGGCCAGGGTGGAGGGTGGTGACGTCGGGAGCGCCAGACACTCTGGCCTGGGGCCTGTGGGCACCAAGGCTTCTGCAGACTTTGCAGACAGCCCTGAGCCTCGCAGGTAGGAGCAGAGAAGCAGGGCCTCCGAAGAGGCCAGTGTCAGGTCATCACACCAGCTGAGCGCCCACCACCCATTCAATAGCGTGTGGGCCATCTGTCTACCCTGGTGCTGAAGCACCGTCTGGGAGGCACCTCACGGTTCCTCTAACATGTGCTCTGGGGGCCCAAGCTGCTGCGGGGAAGAGTAGAGCCCTGTGGGGCTGGGGTCCCACGACCAGGGTCACTGTGCAGCATCAGCTACTCCTCCTACAGAGGACAAAGGTGGCGCACTCAGTGGAGTGTCCCTGAGAGGGGCCCAGCCACACCCACACACCCCGACCTCCACCAACCCTGGCAGTGGCCTGGTGACCCTGTGCCACGAGAAGGGCACAGTGACCCACTGCTTCCTCACCTGTACTCCCTGGTCAGCCGGCCACTGCTGGGTCCAGCGGGGGACCTCTGAGCACTGCCCCCACTCCTCTGCCCCAACCCCCCCCCCCCCAGCCACCCTTCCAAGTGCCACTCGGAGCCTCGGTGCAGCAGGCACCCTCCGGCATTCATGAGCCTGCCCTGCAGTGCCTTTTGCACTCCAGGCTTTGCTTTTAGGCCAACTGCCCCTCACGGGTTTTAGAGTCCAGCGGGGAACAGGCCCTCCCTCCTCCTTCCTCTGGGCCACGGCTCCACCTGCTGGTCGGTTACTTGGGTCCTAAGTCCATTTGTGGAGGAGCCGCCTGGGGCTTTTGGCTGTGGCGATGCCCGCCGCCCCCCGCGCCCCGCCCCGGCCTCCTTCCTCGGACACCATGCCTTGATTGGCTCGCTTCAGGGCCCCACACCGTCCTGACTGGAGCCAGCAGAGCACAACCAACCCGGCAGTGTGTCCACGCTGCAGCGCCTGACCGTTCGGCGGGAACCGAGAGCCGTGACCTGGGCACGCTGCCTCTCGAGAGACTGGAAAGCTCGAATTCTGCAACCCCATCTGTCTGAAGAAGTTCCAGCACCTTCTGATGGGTCTCAGCTGGTGCCCGCCGCTCTCTTACCCGGGCCTCCTGTGTCCAGTCTCCCTTCCTGGCTCCTGCCCCCGTTTCATGGCGCACATCCTCCACGGCCTCGTGAGAAAGGGGGCAGTGAGGGAGGGGGCGCTCCACACGTGGCCCACGAGGAACCAAAATGAACTGCTCCCTCAGGTGGGCATGGCGGACTCCCGGGGTCCTCCCTCACCCTCTCTCCCTGCTTTCATCTGTCCTTCTGCCCTTTCTCACATAAACACCCCAATTTATAAGGTCCTTTGTTTAGATGTGCATTTTACTCTTTGATGTTTTTAACTTCCAAAAGTTCATGTGCTTCCTCTTTGAAGACGTTTGTTAAATTTTCTTTTTTAATGTTTATTTTTGAGAGAGAGGGAAACACAGAATCCGAAGCAGGCTCCAGGCTCTGAGCTGTCAGCACAGAGCCTGATGCGGGGCTCAAACTCACAGACTGTGAGTTTATGACCTGAGCTGAAGTTGGACTCTTAACCAACTGAACCAGCCAGGTGCCCCCAAATGTTTTTTTAAAATGCAGTATCCTCCTTTGGGTCTGAAGATGACCGTGGACAATCGCCAGAGGCTTCCTCATCCCCTGGTTGTGCTGTCCCCGCCCTCAATGCCAGACCACCCTGGGGGCCCTCTCACAAGGAGGGTGAGCCGTGGGTCCCGCTGGGGACAGGCCTGGACGGGCTTCCAATGTCAGATTCCACAACAGGAGCCCACCCAGAGGGCGTTTTGGGGGGTGATGGGAGAGAGGGGTGGGCTGGGGCGGTGGTCTCAAAACCACGTGCACCCCTCTGTGTTGGCTCTGGGGCTCCTGTCCAGGGACCCTCTGAGGGCCCCTCCCCCCAGGGTCTCTGACCCAGCAGGCCTGGCATGGAGCCCGAAGTCCTGGGCTCCTAACGAGTTCCTGGGGAGGCGCTGCCCGTGTGGGGCCTGCCTGTGTGGACTCAGGGCTCCAGGAGAGTAGCCCTAGTTCTCAGTCTGCTGGGTTCATTTTTGCCAGGGGAGGGGCGAGTGCCTACTGGGGTGGAAGGTGGGGGGTGGGGGGAGACGTGCCTCGGAATGACACTCTCTGGCAAGCACCTTTCCTCCTCTTCCTCTCTGCCTGTTACCATCCCTGCCTGGGGCCACTGGCCACATCTGGCCTGGGGGCTCCAGGGGCACCGCTCAGACTGGCTCTTGGCTCTACCACTTTGGCCCGTGAACCAGCCACACAACAGCTTCCCAGGTTCCAGAAGTCTGTTGTGTTGTCCTCTCTCTGGGGTTACATCCAGGCTGGGGCCCCTCTCCTGGCCACATGCTGCTGCCAAGAGGGTGTGGGTGCCCCCGGCCTGGTGTCCCCACAGGGCCCCACAGCGCGTGGTGGCCATGGGCAGGCTGGGCCCCCGGAACGCTCCCCGCCTTTGCTGGTGGCCCTTTCCTGTGCCCTTGCAGGGTGGCTCCAGTGCGAGAATAGGAGGGCAACTTCCCTGCATGGGGGGTGACAGGCCTCGGGGAAGCTGCTCTGATGTACGGAGCTGCAGAGTGAGGCCATGTCACAATGGGCAGCCCCTTGCATCTGTGCTCCCCCTCCCCACCGCTGCCGCTGGCCTCTGTGCAGGGGACTCTGGCTCCTGTGAAAGGTACTCAGGCCCATGAAAGATGGTCCCCATTTCTGCGGACTAATGCATTTACTTACGATTAATGGGACACATATAAGCCGGGAAACAGCATTCATCTGTGTGTGTGGAGGCTGTGAAGAGTCGAGCCCCGTGTTTCCCCACTGCTGCCTGAGTCACCTGCAGGGGCGCTCATCCCAGGCCCTCCCGTGGCCCGCTGCCCGTAGGACGGTGCCCGGTGCCTACCTGCCACCTCCTTGGGTGAGGGCAGACCCGCGGCGGCCTCCAGGTCGGCGGGGACGGGGCCACCCCGCTCCAGGGCGCGCACGAGCTCCCGCAGCCGCTCGCACTCCTCCTGCAGCTGGGCCTGGTCCTCGCGCAGCCGCTGCCTCGCCGCGCTGGCTGGGTTCATGCTCATGTGTAGCACTTTGGTTCTGCTCTGGTCGTAGCTGCCCTGTGGGACCACGGGGCAGGTCAGCACAGCCCGCACCCCCGAGTGAGGGACTGCCGGGCCCTCCCCTGGCCTTGTGCCCTGCTTGGCAGGGTGACAGGGCCACTGCGCACCTGGAGTGGCAGGAACTTCTAACCGGGAAAACCAGGAAACCCCCTTCCGGATTCTCACAGGACAACTATAAAGGCAAACTGGGAGGGGTGTCTCAAATGTGCTACACTTCACACAACGCTCTACCGACTAATGTTCCAAAGATTGGGGGCCTCCTTGCTACCACACGCCCTGCTGGCTCAAGGTCTGCAGATTTAAAAATGAACACAAAACTCAGAGATAAACTGGGGCGCCTGGTGGCTCAGTCGGTTAAGTGTCCGACTTCGGCTCAGGCCATGATCTAACAGTCTGTGGGTTTGAGCTCTGTGCTGACAGCTCAGAGCCTGAGGCCTGCTTCGGATTCTGTGTCTCCCTCTCTCTCTGCCCCTGCCCTGCTCGTGCTCCGTGTCTGTGTCTCTCAAAAATAAATAAATGTTACGAGAAAAATCATAGAGATAAACTGTGAGGGGAGCTCAGAGTCCCCACATGGCTGGGCCCTGTGTCACTGTTACCAACACCCCAAAGGCCCCAGCTGTCACCAACTAACCAGTGTGGACGCTGACCTCACTCACCAGGAGAGACCCCTGTCTACAAACATTTCCAAATGCAACCACCCGAGTCTATATTAAACTAAGCATGCGTTCCTGACCTCCACAACCCGACACGAGGCAGCCCAGCCCCCACCCAGTTTGGGTCTGGCAGCTGCGTGCAGAGGGCAAGAAACAGCCTCTCAGGCTCCCGGGTGCTGAGGTTGGCCCCTCCTGCCCCCACGAGCCCTAAGGTGGTTGTTCTCCCACATTCCAGAGTCCGTCTTGGGCCCTGGCCTTGCGATGCTTCTGAAGTCCCGCACACACCAATGTTCAGCGTGTGCTGTGAACTCAGGGCCTCTGGCGAATGCAGGCATGAGTCCGCCAGTACGGTGTCAGAGTCCCGGCCTGGGTGTCCGGGCACCACTCATGCACCGCTCTGGCCATCTAGCTCTTCCAGGACACGGTCAGCTGGAGCCGTTTCAAACGCGCTTCCTCACTTTGCAACACTTGGCGACATGCAGTGCAGGCTCCACTGCGGCTTTTGGCGGCCTGCTAGCTCATTTCTATGCTGCGCTGAATAACATGGCCTCGTACTATGCACCAGTTCGTGGGTCTACTCGCTTCCAAGGGACACCTTAGAAGCTTCTAGTTTCGACAGTTATAGGTAAGTTGCTATAGACGGTCCCATGCAGGTTTTGTGTGGACACAGGATTTCAAACAACTACACCCAGTTCCTCTGCTGCTTCACGCACCCGCCTCCACGGGGGTCCCGGTGCCCCTGGCCACCCCATGGGAGAGCCCTCGCTTGGCCAGCAGGCCCACCTCAAAAGCCCTCTCTGCTGCTCCTGCCTGCCCGCCAGCTGCTGCCGCCCCGGGGAGCAGACACGAGCCCCACTCCCGCCAGTGCAGAATCTCCTCTGCCTGACCAGTGTGAGCATGGCCTTGGGACCTGGGTGAGGCCAACCATTTTCCTGAAGTTTAATCTTCAGGAACAGGGAAAGAAGCTTCCTCTTTCCAGAAGCCGCAGCTGGGACACTGAAGGCCTCACTGTCTTCGACGAATCCCGTCTCTCCCCTCTCGACCTGGAAGAGGCCTGCCCGCCATGGGGAAACAAGATCATCTCTGCAGAGACGGAGAGCGAACAAGGCCCGGCGCCAGTACGCAATGATGCACGCAGGGCCCAGAGAGCCATGCAGCCTGCTGCCACCCACCATGGCTGTGGGACCTCCGGGCAGACACCAGGACACGTTACAGTCCTCAGCAGCACCGACTGCGAGCCACCGACACACAGACAGAGACCAAGAGAAAGGGTGTGCCGGGTCAATAGAACAATTCAATTTTTAAAATGGGCAAAAAACGTGAACAGGCACTTGACAAAAGGACATGTTCAAATGGACAGCAATGCGTGAAATGGAGCTCAAATCAATCGTCAGACCAAAGCCAATTAAAATGGCACTGAGATGCTGGGTCTTCTCCCCACATGCTCAACCGGCACTGACCCAATGGGAATAGCCAGCGGCAAGGGCACAGAGAGGCCAGAGCTCATCCTGGCGAGGATGGGAACTGGTGTGGCGCTGAGACAGCCATGTGGCAGTGCGGCTCCTCTGACGGCCTGCAACTCGAAGCCTCACACAAATGTCAGCAGGGAGTCAGGCACCAACAGGTCCACGCCGACCAGACACAGTGTGTGGCCCCCCACACAGAAGAAGGGATGAGCACCTACAGGCACAAGCAACAGTGTTGAGGGTCACCATTGACGCTGACAGAACAAGTCAGACGCAGTGGAGGCACAGCCTGCAAAAGCGGGCCAGAGCACTCTGTGGCACTGGAGGTCAGGGGGAGCTGCCTGGGAATGTAGGTGGGGCAGCAGGGGGCCCCCGAGGCATTTGTGAAGTTCTGTTTCTGGCTCTGGAAGCTGGTCACCAGCATGGCCAGTTAATGGAAACTCACTTCCGGTGTCCTGCCTGGTGCTGTGATAAGAAGGTGCTCCTGGACACAAGGACTGTCCAGACACCCCTGGGGAACCCACCAATCGATTCCACCAGGGTCCAGTCTTGTTCAGTAAGGAGACCAGATACACAGGTGCACAGATGCACACTCACACTGTGCCCACAGACAAACATGTGCATGCACACACGTGTGCACACATACATATACCCACACATACACACTGGCGTGCACACACGTCTGCCCATAGATATACACGTGCATGGACATACGCACAGATATACACTCACATGCACACACATGCAGATACATACAAACACACATTCACATATGTACACATACCTACTCACATGCAGGCACACAAGCTCATGCACACACATGCACAGGACATGTGTGCACACATGTGTGCAAGGCAAGCCACACATGTGCACACACACACATACTCCTAGCACACACACACACGTGTACACTGACAAGGGTACACACACTCATACATGGATTATGTACTCATGTGCATGCACAAACACACGCATCCACATGCACACGCAGACAGACATGTGATACACAGACTTACACACATGTATGAAGGTCAGAGAACCCCAAGGGGAAGGGGGGCTTGAGCACCTTGCCCTGGTGCGGCTGGGTCTCCGTCACCTGTGGGTTCTGGCTCATTCCCTGATGACCCCAGGTCAGCCCGGGGGTCTCACCTCTTCCGCCTCATGCCCCTGGATCTGCTGAGAGCAGCCCCAGTTTTTTGGCCAGCATGGAGGCTGCATATAAATGACCTTGCCAGCGCCCTGAGCCAGTGAAGGCAGGGCAGGAGCTGCGTCAGAGGCCCCTCCTTCAGGAAGCCCCTCTGGGACGCCCCATCTACAAGGTGGTGCCCGAGGGCTCAGGTGTTAGGAGATGTCCTTCCTGGAAGAGGTAGCTGTCTCCTCACTCAGGAGGAGCATCTGTCGGGTCACAGCAAGGGCCACGCCTCTCTGGTCTCCCTGACCAGGACAGGGGCCACTGCAGGGCACAGGAGGGAGAGGGCTGTCTGAGGTCTTCCAAGTCTGCTGGTGCAGAGAACAGTGTCACTTGGAGGAAGGCCCATGGCCTTCCTGGGACAGGTGCTCTGGGAAATGGCATCTCCTGAGCAGATGGGCAGGAGGCTGCTGGCCCTGGGACCCCACCTCGACCCTGCAAGTGAGGGATGCTGGGCCAGCTGAACACTCCATGGCCTGTCTTCCTTTCTGCTCAACATGCAGTGATTCTTCCTCAGACAGTCCCATCTCCCCGTGCCTGTGTGAGTCCTGCCCACATGTTTCTCCTCGCTCTTCCAGGGACAGCGGGAAGAGGGCGCATCCTTTATTCTGAACATCTCACTCTCCGGGTGAGGAGGCTGGCCACTGACACATTTGTTAAGTGCAGCAGGGCCCTTGCATGAACTGCGGTGGGCATGGTCCTGCCAAGTCACTGGACAGTGTAGCCACCGCGAGTCTGGGGAAGGGGCCAGGCCAGAACACCCAGAATGCACCCCAAAAGGAGAGGCAGGCAGGATGGGGGAAGGAGAGCAGGGTCCTCCCTGTCCTGAGTGCTATCTCCAGCAAGTAAATCAGCATCCTGGTGTCACTGGCGTGGGACAGGGCAGTGGCGAGCCCCTCAGAGAGAGGAGAGCAGAGATGACACGTCGGCAGCCATGGCCCCCTTGGCCCCTGTCCCTGGCGTCACCTCAGAGAGCAGCAAGGGGGGTGGGTGGCAGGGTAGGGCCCCGGCAATGGCTGTCCGGTGAGCCCGTGGGGAAGGCGCTGAGCCGGGAGGACTCGGGGCTGTCTACGGGTTTCTGAGAACCTTGTAAAAACCTCAGAGAATAAAGAAGCTTCCTGTAGCTGCGGTGGAATCACAGTCTCCAGGGCAGAAGGCAGCGTGACCCCTTCCAGCTTTAGCACTCTGGCAAAGATAACTGTAAGCGCGAATCCATCGGCCCTGCACGGCCCGGCAGAGGCCCTGTGACCGCAGACAGGCCAGCAGCCTGCTGGGCCTGGGCCTTTGTGGGCGGGGGGTGGGGTGGGGGGGGTTCTCATCATCCTTGCAGGGGGCAAGCAGGGAGGGAGGGATGGATGGGCCAGGGGTGGGGGCGGCAGGCCTGCCCTGTGTCTGGCACTGGATGCTGGTGAGCGAGTCCTCTGGCGACACCAGAGGCCTAGCTCCCAGCATGCACGTGTCCCCTAACGCTGTTCTTCCTTTGGTTTGCCTTCAACCCTTCAAAAATGTAAGAACAAAGACAGGTCGGCAGGCCTTGGGCCTGGGCCCACCCACCCCTGCTGGGCTAGAGGGTCAAGGCCCTCCTTCCCTGGGCCACCTAGCAGATGCTCTGCTGGGCCCAAGACAGGACAGCCCAAGACAGGACAAGCCCGCTGCTGCCCTGGGAGGCAGGTGCGGGTGAATCTGGTG